ACATGCACTACACACACACACACACACACACACAGTAAACATAAAAATGCAACTCAATTAACAGGGACTCTCACTGAGTGCAAAAACCCACAGCAATGTCCTCAACAGAAACACCTTCCCATTCTCCTCCAGCAGTACAGCCAATCAGTAAGTACCAAACTTACTGAATTCAAATACTGGCCTAATCCCTTGCATGTGATTATTTCACTTCTTAGTTTTATCATCTGTAAAATGGAAGCCTATGACGATTAAATAAGGTGATGCATTTGAAATTTTGAGCATGGCCATACACAGCAGATGTTGGCTTGTCCCCTTGTTCCTCCATTTTCCTGACTGCCCAAACCCAAAGCAGCAAAGGACACAGAGGCCCTGCATTTTCATCACACTTGCCAATGAATGTTACAGGGTGGTGACAAGGCTGCAAGCAGTGGGGAGCTCAATTGCTTTCATTTGCATGTGTGATCTATGGAGAAAATCAGAGGTGGGAGAGGTTTTACAAATCTTCACCAAGGCCAGATATCCCAGTTAATGTACATTAATCCATTGAAATGTGAATGCAGATGCACTGGTTATCTTTACAGGTAATCCAAGCTCCAGAGGCTGAAAGGAAAGATGGTCTTCTACTCTATTCCTCCTCTGTTCAGTTGAGGCCACAACACCTGTCCTGGCCTCCTGCAAGTCATCATCAACCCACCATCCATAAGTGGTCTCTCAGCTTCTATTCTCTCCAGTTTATTCTTTCATTCCACTGGCATTTATCGCACACAGAATACAAATCAGGCACTGAGTTTATGTAAGAGGGGTTGGTCTCTAGTTTAAAGAGCTTCTTGAATACCCTTTTTGAGCACAAATCTGACTGCGTTAACTGCTGTGTTTACCAACCTTCAGATGCTCCCCATTGATAAAAGCACAAATTCTGATTCAGAATGACCTTGGTGGTGCCTGGACATGGACAGTTTAAATAACGCATATAGTTGAGTCTGATGTTTCCTCCTGATTGAGAAACAGTAGATAAGCTTTCGGACCTCTTGTTATGTGTGACATGTAATACCCTCTGCAATACCCCAACATTCCCAGCCTCACCAGATCAACACAATTTGGCCTCTGCTTAAATTTCACCTTCATTCCTTACTGTACTCCAGTCGTACTACCCAGTCTGCTTTTTCCTGAAGTTCATTCTTTCAAGTTTACACAGACTATTACACATCCTGCTTGGAAAGTGCTTCCACCTTCACGTAGCACTTGCACATTGTAGGCTTCTTCACCCTCCTCAGAGACTTTCCCTGACCATCCAACTCCATATATAACCCCAGTCACTAACACCTCACCTGCTTTACTCTATTCCAATTTTCATAGCACTCATCATTATCTGAAAATATATTACTTAATGGTGTACCTGTTCATGCTCTTTCTTCACTAGAATTTGAGCCTTTCAAGGACAGTTTGTCTCGTTTGCCACTGTATCCTCAATGCCTAGAATAATGTTTAGTATATGGCAGGTGCTCAAACACTTGGCAAATAAATTACCACTCTTCCTGTGGATGCTTCAGTCACAGCACTTGACATGCTATTTGTAAAATCCCTTTACATCAAGGTTCTGTTGGTTATTTGGAAACGAACTGAAGCTCCTTCAAATCAGGAGCAAGGGGCAGTAACCAATGAAAGAACTCCAGGGGAGGCAAATGGCTGGTCCTCATGGGAGGTGGAACCCGGAATTTGGCTGGAGCCAAGATATTTTCCCCCTGCTCTCAGGCCAGAGTCTCTCCATTTTGCTTCCCTAGGCTGCTACTCCACCTACTTCTCCTTTGTTTACTCATCTCACATATGACCCAACATATGCACTGGTCCTACTGGCTTCTCTCATCCAAGAGTTTCCTTTGAAATTAAGAATATTCTGACCACTTGTTAGCTTTATGCCATCTGTCTATCTCTGAACCATTTAGTTGAAGCCTTGGGAGCAAAGAGAGAGGCACAAGGAGGGTCTAACACATTTCCTAGGGTCTCATGATGACCAAGACTGCCTGGTACAAATCCGTTCCCTCCAAATCATACTTCTCCCAAGCATACCTTGCTCTTTCATACTTCCACTCTAGGGTTATTTCTTCTGCCTGATATGTACTTCCCCAACCTTTTATGGTTAAGTGTACAATTCAGTGGCATTTTGTACACTCACGTTTTTGTACAACCTTGACCACTAATTCCAGGACATTTCATCATTACAAAAAGAAACCACATACCCATTGGCAGTCATTCCCCACTTCCACCCCAGACCATTACTGTTTTCAGTTCTCTCAGGTATGTATCTAGAATCGGATATTGGATATATTAGAGTTGCCAGATCATTGGCAACTTTTCGAGAATCTGCTGAACTCTTTCCCAAAGTGGCTGCATATCTTTCATCAGCAACACAGGAGAGTTCCAATTTATCCACACCTTTGCCAAGACTTGTCATTGTCCATCTTTTTTATTATAGACATCCTATTGAACACAAAGTGCTATCTCATGCATCCTTTTCTACCTCACACTTCAGAGGCCAGCCCAATTATGACCACTGTAGAATTTCCTAACATGCTCCAGGGCAGGTTTACTCACTTCTCCATAGTTTCATCATCACTTATCTATGCCTCTATCAGTGCCCATCCATTCAGTATTTACTTACTGAACACCCACTATATGCCTACCATCATTCCAGGTGAAGGTACAGTGAACAAAACAAACATAAGCCCCATGCCTTTGTGGAGCTTATATTCCAGTGGGGAAAGACAAACAATAAAAAGTTTGTCAAACAGTGGTTAAGTGCAATGGAGAAAACTAAATAAAGCACAGCACGGCAATAGAACATGCCAGTGGTATGGAGGTGGCAATTGTAAATAGGGTATCATGGAAGTTGTCATTTAAGTTACATTTGAGCAGGAATTGGAATTTGAACTGTGAAACATCCATGAGATATGTCAAGTAGGCATTGGATAACAGGTCTGGAGTCCAGAGAATAGAGTTCAGGTAGATAGAGCAGAAGTGGAAGAACTAATGAAAAACCAGAAGTTACACACTGAAGTGTGGGTACTAAAGTAGGCAAAAACTTCAGTGTGTGGTGTCCTACTCAGCAAAAATCTGTGTTAGTTTCTGTTGCTGCTGTAATAAATTAATACAAATTTAGTGGCTTAAAACAATGCATATTTATTATCCAATAGTTCTGTGTAAGTCTCACATGTGACTAAAACAAAGGTAACAGCAGGGTTCCTTTTTGGAGGCTCTAGGAGAAAGTTTCCTCGACTTTTCCAGGCTCTAGAGGCTCCCTTCCTCTTATTTTCCAAAGCCAGCAACATTGTATCTCTCCAAACATTCTTCCCTAGTCTCATCTCCTTCCGACCTCAGCTAGGAAAGAGTGTCTGCTTTTAAGGATCCATGCAATTAGATCAGGCCAGTCCAGACAAACCTGGGATAAATCTCCCCATCTAAAGATCCTTAATCACAGCCACGAAGTCCCTTCTGCCACAAGCTAACAGGTTCCGGGATTGGAACATGACCATCTTTAGGGGGAACATTATTCTGCATACACACAGTAAAGGAACAAAGCATTTCAAAGAGGAGTGATCAACTGTGTCATAGACTGACGTGTCAAAACTTAAGGATTGAGAAATGACCATTGGACTAAATACCATGGGCGTTCTGGTGATCTTTACGTAGGCAGGTTCTGTGGTGTTAAATCTTCACTGGAGTGGGTTCAAAAGAAAAAAAGTGCACAGGTAACTGAAATTTGCTAGGAAGAGCAGAAAAAGGGATGGTAACTTAAGGGGTGGATGTGGGTCAAACAAGGATTTATTTTTAATATGGAAGAATTAATAGCATGTTTGTAGGCTGATGGGAATGATCTAGTACAGGGAAAAGTTAGCGGAAGGAAGAACAGCTAAATTGGGGCTCTTTGAACAGGTCAAGAATGGAATCTAGCACACAACTGGAAGAGCTTGCTTTAGGTAGGGCAAGGACAATCTGTCTATAGTAACCATAGACAGAGCATACAAGCACAGTTGTAGTTAGGTAACTAGATGTAATGGTAGAAGTCTGCAGAAATTTCCTTGTTTCTATTTTCAGAGTTAAAAAAGAGAAAAGAAAAAAAAAGACCATTAGCTGAGAGTGATGATGGCAAAGGTGTTTTCAAGGAAAGTGTAAGAGTAAATGGGATAGAGAAATGCAGTACGATTGCCAGATGGTACTAAGGTCTACTTGAGGTCATGACCTTAAACACACATACTGAGCCAGCAAGTTCAGATGCATGAGTGCACTGAAGTACAGAAAAGGTGGTGTACTGAACTAGCTAAAATTGGGAGTTTAGCCAGATAAGTATACTGAAGCAAGAGATGGAGCAAAACAATTTACTGTGTAGCTAAGAGTGACTGTAACAAAAGATCACTGAATCTAAGCGGGCTAACAAAGGACATGAGGTGGAAAATTAAAGACACGTGAGGGGATCAGTGAATTTTAAGACACACTACTGTAACCACTCACTGTACATGTCTACATATCTAACTCCTCTTCTAGACTAACATCCTCCGAAGTGGGATCAGTGTCTTTATCTTTCACTCTTAGTACCTCAGCACATAAGTTTGTTATCTGAATGGATGGATGGGTTTAAGGGAAATTCCTCATCTCTAATTTCATATGTAAACTTCCTTCTTGCTCACTGTTAAAAAGAGTTCAAGTCAAGATCCTTAATCAAAACCTATGGTATAAACAAATCCTTTGGGATGAGATAAGATGCTCAGTTTCTACAGTGTTGTGTCCAAGAACTGAACCAGAAAATGTATCAGAGATAGTCCAACTACAGTTAAATTTGCCCATATTGAACACCTGAATGGCATGAAATTTTTGAACTTCCCAACCTCTAGTTATTTAACCTCCTTGTGGTAATTAGCAGAATCCAAAACAGGCCTTGAGAATACTAAGTTTTCCAAGAAGACATAAATGAAATTCAACCTGGGGGGAGAGAACAAATGCACAAAGAGCATGTAAAATATGTTTTATTGTTCTTTAAAAGGGTTCAGGGTTTGGTTTTAAATCAGGCTGCATACCTTTCATCAGTCTGACATCTCTCTCACCATGTCAAACTGGCTTCAGCTAGCAATACCTCATTAAATCCAAAAGAAAAAAAAACTTGAAATTTTGAGGAAGAAAATCCAGTTCTGAGAACAATTAACATTAGTTTGTAATTTAAAACAAAATGAGGGCTAATGTTTCATGTTGCTTTATACACCCTTCTCCTCACACAGAACCAGGAATGTAATTTTCCTAACTCAGGCAGGCACTGATACTGGTGGACACTGCATTGCGCACACACACATACACACATGCACATACACACACTCCCCCAACAAACAACAAAAAATCAGAGCATGTCAAAGGAAAGTCTGTTATGGTATTCATCAAAACCCTTGGAGTCAACAGAAAAGTCTGTCTGGGTTTAGAGGGTATGCTGTTTTGATCATAAGCCTATGTTAGAAGAATCTATTGTCATGTTCTGAAATGAAGAATTTTGAATAGTACCATCATTTTTCACTTTAAAATCCTAGAAATAATCTCAAAAAGCATTATTTTGTTTTGTTTTCTGGAATGGGGGAGGAGAGAATTTACACAGATTTTCATTTTGTTAAAAATCAGAACTTCAGCATAGGAAATAGGCAGTTCACACAGCCAGCCGACATCTGAGGTATCATCAGTGTGAAACAAGGTCCCCGTCCATTCCTACTGGCCTCGCTGATCCTAATAAAGTGAGAAGTTTATGGCTCTGCACAGCAAATTCCAGCAGGACAAGATGACCCTAAGCCTTTACTCAAATTCTTAGAAGCAGAGCATTAAGTATATAATATTTAGATGAAGAGTGCAAGAGCTCCTAATGGTATCCTTCAACTTGCTTTGTCAAAGTAGCCCAGTCACAGCTCTTCTTGCAAAGGAGAAGAGCAGCTTTTCTAGATCAGCACATTGACCCCAACAAAGAATCTGCAAAAATGATACTACACCATTTCTTTAGCAACACAGTCCCTCTGCTGCCTGTTGGGCTGCTCTATGTCTCTCTTCTACCCTGTTACGGCCTGTGGACACATACTCACTAGGCATTGTTGGTTTTAAACCAGCAATTTTTTTTTAAATCTCATAAAGAACCTAATAAGAAAATAACAAGGCAATCAGTGGTTAAACTGAACTGTACATATAGGGGGCAGTTTGGAAAATACCCATCACAGGTATTTCTCAAGTCCAAAATACTATGTCTTTGCTGTTACTCCTCTGACTCTTCCTGAAAATTCAGAAAACAAGTAAGTCCTAAAATAAAAATTTTAAACCACTGGCATTCTCTGACATCATTAGACAGAAAATCAGAATGCCATAGTCCAATTCTATAAGGAGTATAAAGTGTACTAACTACCTGCCTGGACACATCTTTAGCGATGGCCTAGAGAACTCCCCTTCAGAAAACCCACTTAGCTTCACTGGTTGGAAAAGAATTCGACTCTCAGCTAAGTTCTCTGAGAAGAGAGACCCTTCTCAAAATACCATTTCCCCACTAATTTACCAAAACAAACCAAAACAAAAGGCTCTTGGCTACTTTGCCTAATGTTGAATAGGGTTTTTAAGAAAAGAAACTAACATGAACACTCATCATCAATAAAGACTAAAAACCACCTGGATCATATAGTTTATATGCCACTGCTTTTTTTTTTTTCATGTTTTTGTTTTTTTTTTCTAAAAGTGCCCAGGTGGGCTTAAGGCTGCCAGACTGCACACACATCTAGAGCAACAAGGGCTTCTCCTATTTCATCTACAACTTGTATCAGGGGAAAAAAGAGAGATAAGAGAAAGGAGAGAAGAATAATATATACCCTCCCCACAAAAAAGAAGAAATCCCACAACAGGGAGATCTATGTGCCAAGCATAATGGAAGAGTGTGCTCCCCAAACAGATGGTTCTGCACAGGCTAATGTTCTGCTGGTTTTCCTTAGAGACCTATTTTGAAAAAGTTAAAAAAGACAGGAGATTTTGAAATAATTCAATCCTGGCAGAAATTCAAACTTAACACTAGGAGGAAAATCATCCTTCACTAAATTAATTCCTTTTTTCTTTCTCTTTTTCTTTTCTTAAATATTTTATTCATGTTATAGAGGGATTTCTTTTTGTTTCCTTTTTCCAATCATTAGGAGAGTGGTTGAGGAGTACTGAATCCATCACTACTTTGATGACACAGTTAAGATTCCAGATTCACATTTCCAGGTACCAAGAGTTCCCTCTAAATGCCACAATCAAGTCAGCCTTTGTTTACATTTCTTTCTATTGAACACAGCAATGCCCATTGGTATCTCTGAAGCGTAATCGCATCTTAGGTCGGTATTTCTCCAGGTAAAGTAGCTGTTTGGAATTGAATGCTCCCCTTCTTTTTCTGAAAATATAAGAATGGCAAACTTTATCATGTTAAAAAAAAAAAAAAAGAGCTGCCTGATACACTGAAATGCATTACTTATGGCCTAAGGCCTTTCTAATCCTACACAGCTGAAAACCAGTGTAGTTCTCATACAATATCACTTCTTAAGTGAAAGGGCTAACTTAGAAACATGAACTCTCTATGCCTTCTTAGAAGGAATAGACAAATTTTCTTTGCTGACTCTCATTAGTCTATTAACCATTTAATAAATATCAAAATGATTTATCCAGAAACATATGACTACACTCTTGCTAATTACATTAATATACTCTTCAGAGCAGAATTAATACCAAGTATTTAGGATGAATGAACAAGTATTATATGAAGCAGGAGGCACAGATGGCATTCTTTGAAATGTTACCTCCTAGAGTTGCTACCACACATTTCATGCCCTTTATCACAAACAGTCTTTTTCTTTTTTCTTTTCTTTTCGTTTTAAAGAAAAGGTTGAAAGGGAAAGGGCAAGGTAATAGTTGCGAAATAATTTTCAGACAACAAAATAGCATGGCCCTTTATTCCAAACTGATGCCAAGATTCTGTCTGGGCACTACCATCCTGATTTTGTGCCTGAAAAGGTCACCAAGGAGTCCTAGATGATTAACTGCTCCTCTAAAGATTCTTCCTTCACTCTTGGTCATAGAAAGTTGCATTTGGAAGGTATTTGGGACATCCATTAAAAGAGACACTAGATCACTGAGATTCTACCACCTAGCTATTCATTTTAAAGGTTCAAAGATACTGAAATCATATGCTAACTATTCTAAATGTCCAAATTTGCCATCCAAATTAGAAAATCTTTAACTCTGGAAGCCACTAGTATTATTATGAGTCTCTTTATCACTTGCTCTTTTTGATTTCTTCAAACAATATTTTAGGCCAAAGTCAGCAAATTATTCCACACTACAAATGGATACTTTTCATAATTCCTTCCTCTTGTATGAAGATCATGCTTCATGTGTTTCTGAACATAAAACCTCATACTTACTGCCTTATAAATTGAACTGCATCCTCATACTTCATTCCACATTCAATCAAAGCAAGTGCAACCAGCACAGGTGCCCTGCAGAGAGAAACTCATTTGTCAATATCCACAGGTCTTTGGAATTAAAGGATTTTTTTTAAAACCCAGGACTACATATTATCAAAACAATGCAAAGCTTGAGTCTCCTTTTTCCCATATACTAAAATATCTGATCTTTTTCTATACAGTAAAAATATTTATCATTATAGCTTCTATGGTATTATCAATTTTTAGTAAAGCACTAAATTCTAAACCTTTGTTAAGAAACCTTTACTCTTTAAAACATCACATTATACATCAAATTTTCACATCACTATACTCATCAAAAATTCTTCAATAGTCTTTAACCACTATTACAGTAAAATTAATGACCAAATGTATTATCTTGAGTGTCTCAGAATTTTCATTACAAATCGATTATAATTTCCTCATCAATTACTAAAAAGGAGTTAGACTTCTTCAACATAATCCTTTTTGTTGCTAGGAGAGTGTCAGAGAATTGGTAATTAGAAACAGGTTTTTTTTGTAAGTATATTTCTTTAAAATCTAACAAAGGAAATGATGTTTAAAAGACATCCATTACAAGGCATCAACTTTGGACTATGTAACTAGGATAACTACAAGTTATAAGACTGCCCCAAATGAAGTGAGAATACTACCTTCACCCGTCAGGATAAGGACTGAAACTTCTGACTGGAAGAAACTGTACTACACTACACTGCAAGAGAGGAAAAGAGCAGACAAAAGGGCTAAGCAGAGGTAAAACCTCAGTCACCAGCACTTGAGGCAACAGCAGCCTGCACTAATGTTTTGAGTCAAAGCGCACACATAAATTGACATTTTATATGCTGTTAGTAAGTGTGGCAACGCCATTCCATGCAATGCTCAAGGAAAATCATTTTAAAATCAAACTTAATTTTCATTCTCCATACATCTCCTTTAAGGAGTTTAGAGTTCTGCCATCTGCCCTCTGCCTATTCACTTCTCATTCATCTTCATCCAAAATTAATGGATAGATTCTTCAAATTCTACATTTATTTTATTTTTCTTGCCCATTTCAAAGACCTGAACTTTGATTACTTGAAATGCAAAGAAAAAACACATACTGAATTAAGAGTCAAAGATAATTACATTAAATCAGTTTCAAAACAACTTCTGAATTATCACCCACATTTAGTATGGCATCAGAATCAGACAACCAATGAAACACAAAACGCTGTTTTGAGAAATTATTACACCAGCTTTTGCTCTCATTTCCTTTCCTTTCAGGCAATTTAATATTATAATAAATGTAAATTTATACCAAAGTGAAATTTTTTATAATTAATTCACAGACAAAGGGGTAAGAGCTTACCTTCCCAATCCTGCAACACAATGCACTGCAACACAGCAACCTGGCTCTTCACGAAATTTGGTTTTTAGTAGGTTTAGCCAATCATCTACTATCTGATTAGGGGGTGGTGCTCCATCATCAAATGGCCAATCCTGGAAAGAAAATATCTTTTACATTAAATTGATATTTTATTTTCACCAAGGATAAAATCCTAATGCAGAATAGCTGTATGTACACAGGGCAGGTCCAATTGAACTAACAGTACTATACATACCTATTCTTAATAACTCAATTCTGATCATTGCTGAAAAATGATCCAAGATCAAAATTCAAGTATGGCAAATAACTTAGCTTTCTCAGTGAAGTGTAGTCAGCATCGTATCTAATTTTATCTTATTTAAATTTCTTATCAGAATAAGAGGCTAGTGTTCTACAAATATTTTATCTGAACATAGCAGTAATTAGACATAATAGAGAAAACTGAAATTAAAGTCAAGACAAAATAAGACAGGACACACACCTGTCATTATGCTTTAAAATTCCACTCTGGCAAAGAAGTATACCAACCGGTATCTCACTGGTCTCTACAAATATTTTTGAGGATTATCCCCAAATAGCTTTAAGTAATGACATCTCTTCTGCAGAGAGAGAGGCTGTCTGATGAGAAATTTCTAAGTTAGCATATCTACTGTGCTTAAATTTTTTTAAGAAGCCAAGTAGTTAATATTTTTAAAGCTCTACCTAAATTATATATATTCCATTTAACTAACACAGTGCCATATGATAGGGTCCTGAGCAAATGGAAACCTTTCTCTGAAGTACTCTTTTCTCTTCTTATATTCATTGATTTGGATTTCTTTTAATTAAGACCAACCCCATGTACATTCACAATACAGACAGGGGTTTATCTTCCTTGCTACCCAGCAAGAGGTCCCAAGAAACCAACACAAAGAAGCTTTGAAGAAAGAGGGGAGGGGGGATTCACATTTTACATACCCTCTCTCCTATCCAGCTTTAAGAACAAAAATGCAAAAACACTGCAATTTTTTTTTAAACCTAAGACTATTCTAATGAGATTGAGTAAGGATCCTTTAAGATACTAGAAAAGGACAAAGAAAAAAGTGACAGTGCTAAATTGATTCTGCACACATTACTAGCACCACTAGAACATTTCACATAGCCCATTAGCCATGACAGCACATTATGTTTGATTTGTCAATTATACCCCATAATTAAAGGACTATCAGTGCATCATGTATAAATGTCACTACAGAATTTAATTGTAAATAGCAGTAAAATGAGTAAGTACCTTAGTTGAGAATTTACTTCATCTGATATTCCCTAAAATGCACCTAGTTAAGAAACAATAATATGAAACATGCTTCACTTACTCATATAAGTAATTTCTATCAAAAAATCATTGAAGTATTAATTTAGAAGCATCTGAACTTCAAACTGACATAGCTGAAAAACCACCATTAGGCTTTTCCAATGTGCCTCTCGTTTGTAATAGCATTGGTCAAATTTCAGGGGTATCCTTTTATAAAGTGTTCCAAACTCTCTTCATCTAAGCAAAAGTAAATTAACAATCCACCTTAAAATCTGTCTAGGAAAAGGAAAGAAATTCTAAACTTAATTCTAAATGTCCTTGTTTTTTCAAGCTTAAGTTAGACCTTTAATTTTATCTGATCACAGCTATTTAAAACAAAACAGAAGCCTGGATTTAAAGGTCTGGAATAAATCCCAAACCTACCATTATCTTCTACAAACTAGTTCTTTGGTTCTTTTCTATTTCATAAAGGTGTTTACCAACATTACTGACTCAAACAGACTATGGTCAGTCCACAGTTCATTTTCTCACCCTGCCATCTGTCAAAACAAACTGATTTCTCATTTACCTACTGCAGAACCTACTCACAACACAGGAAAAAGAACTTGTATTCAACCTAGTTTCAGAAGTTCAAGTTTAGTTTTCAGTTTTTTTAAACACAGGGCTATGTTTTACACATGTTTTTACTGACGCCCAGTGATTTCCAGCCAAGGAACCTTAAAATCATTTAGAAATGAGAATGCAAGCAACGTATTACCATACTATACTATTAATTTACATTTTTTAAAAACATAATTCTTGACTATTTCATTTTTGTGTTTTCACCAAAATTCAGGTGAGAAAACTTTGTGTAAGACAAGACTGCTTTACCAACAGGACGTTTGTTTCCTTTGCATGAACTGCCTTGCCAACTACTGACCAAGCAATCAAGACTACAGAACTACCTCTCAATACAAAGTAGGAACATAACTTTATACCAGTATCTTCTTAATACTTTCTTCCTAACCATCTACTTCAAAAATCTCCAGTTCTCTTCCTACTACACTGCTTCCCCACAATCAAATCAAACAGCTTCAAGACAACTAAGACCCACAAGGTCATTTCATTGTATATTCCTACAATTTAGACAACTATTTAGGAAAGAAAAGGTATGAAATTTTACCTAATCTGAGGTTCCTATTGCCAATAATTAAATAGATTTAGGAGATAAGGAGGAATTTAATTTAAAATAATCCCCATCACTTTATATTTAAATGAACTATGAAACTTTAATCACACATAGCCTTCTTAGAAACCTACCAAAAAGTGTCAGAAACTATTGCTGATTATTCTGAAGCAAGATGCCTTCTCCCTCTCCATTCTCTTCTCTCACCTTTTTGTCCCCTACAAATTACCCACAAAATATTAAGTAACTTGTACTTGCAAAGTGAGAGAGAACATTTACATGTGACTTAAAAGCATCTGATGGAAATTTCTTTCAGTTAGCTTCAAACCAGTAGCCTAGAAACAAAAGCATTAATTTCCTAGAGAAAACAAAATACAATTTCCATTTTCTTGAAATAAGTGTGCACTAAATTTTGCTTTTTATTTTTAGAAAATACTATGCATATGTAGACTACATGGGCATAAATGAACAAAGTTGCCAATCCAAAGGGATTTTAAAAGATGATTTGAATACTGTAAAGCCCAACATAAGCTTATAAATGTAAACTACTGAGTGCCATGTTTTTCATGTATCTATGTTCATAAGGTACAACTTGCTTGTAGTGAAAAATTAAAACACTATAACACTCACTAGAACGTGGATTCCTTCTTTTTCAACTGGAGCTTTATCATATGTAGCATCACAAACTCGAACCAAAGTTGTCACTCCATATTTCTTTAGTTCCTTTAAAGAAAAATAAATATAAGGGAACTTGCTTTTAGAATCTGCACCCAAAACTTTAAAAATGTACTATTATAAATTGAAACAATGAGACATCATTCTTAGACAAAGATCAAAATCATTCTCATTGTGGCAACATATATAAGGGACACTCTTGCACTCTCAAGGAGGCTTCAGTAAGATTCACCTCCTATAATAAAGGGCAATTTGGTAGCATAACACAAAAATGTTGAAAGTACACATACACTTTGACCTAGAAATGCTATTTCTGAAAATCTATACTAATGAAATAATTAAAGATATATGCAAAGATTTAGGTACCAGCAGCTTGTTCAGTAGAGGCTGCTTGGAATGGTGAAAAGCTAGAAACATTAATGGTCAAAAACAAGAGAATGGTTAAATAAAGTATGGCACATGCATGAGAATACTATGACAGCTATAAAAATAATACTGAAGAGGCTAGGGGAAGATGCTATAAAATATACAGTGTGATCCTTCCTATCCATATATACAAATATACACATATGTGCAGAGAAAAACATCTAGAAGCCAGTTAAGAATTTTTTAATTGTCTTCTGCTTATCTTCTAATTTTTACATAGTGAGTAGTTACTGCTTTTTTTAATTTAAAGAAAACAAGTAATTTTGAAATTAAGATTAAAAAGTGGTATTATATTAAAAGCCAACTAACACAATTATAGCCAGAAGCCTTGCTCCTTTAAAAATTTTCCTACAGTAATGCCTAATCCAGTGACTACCTATCTTCAAGAAGCCACCAACATCTTTTTATAGTTGCAGGACAGTGGCCTCTACTCCTTTTGGAGTATATAGCAAAGGAATTCACAGGCTGAAAATAGTATCATGTAATGCAGCCAGGCTTAAAGGTGACTGAACAAACTGAGGACACACAGGCCAGGAATCAACTTGCATACTGTGAACAAAAAGTTAAGAAGCTCAGGGAATTATAAGCAGTAACAGAGATATCCTACAAGAAATGTCCATCATTTGATTATCTAAAGAGTAGAGTTATACTTGCTAAAGGGCTTTATTTTTCACAGAATGGCTTTCTGAAACAGTCTCAGGAAAGTTGTTAGTATTACTCTGAGTTGGGAATTTTAAAGTTTTAAAATGCAAATAAAATCACATTAAAATGAACTCCACAGTAGCCATTCACTGAAAGGTTATGGTAGAATTTTTTATGGTAAACATTTGTGTCCTTAAGCAAGTTCTTAGAAACCTACCAAAAAGTGTCAGAAACTATTGCTGATTATTCTGAAGCAAGATGCCTTCTCCCTCTCCATTCTCTTCTCTCACCTTTTTGTCCCCTACAAATTACCCACAAAATATTAAGTAACTTGTACTTGCAAAGTGAGAGAGAACATTTACATGTGACTTAAAAGCATCTGATGGAAATTTCTTTCAGTTAGCTTCAAACCAGTAGCCTAGAAACAAAAGCATTAATTTCCTAGAGAAAACAAAATACAATTTCCATTTTCTTGAAATAAGTGTGCACTAAATTTTGCTTTTTATTTTTAGAAAATACTATGCATATGTAGACTACATGGGCATAAATGAACAAAGTTGCCAATCCAAAGGGATTTTAAAAGATGATTTGAATACTGTAAAGCCCAACATAAGCTTATAAATGTAAACTACTGAGTGCCATGTTTTTCATGTATCTATGTTCATAAGGTACAACTTGCTTGTAGTGAAAAATTAAAACACTATAACACTCACTAGAACGTGGATTCCTTCTTTTTCAACTGGAGCTTTATCATATGTAGCATCACAAACTCGAACCAAAGTTGTCACTCCATATTTCTTTAGTTCCTTTAAAGAAAAATAAATATAAGGGAACTTGCTTTTAGAATCTGCACCCAAAACTTTAAAAATGTACTATTATAAATTGAAACAATGAGACATCATTCTTAGACAAAGATCAAAATCATTCTCATTGTGGCAACATATATAAGGGACACTCTTGCACTCTCAAGGAGGCTTCAGTAAGATTCACCTCCTATAATAAAGGGCAATTTGGTAGCATAACACAAAAATGTTGAAAGTACACATACACTTTGACCTAGAAATGCTATTTCTGAAAATCTATACTAATGAAATAATTAAAGATATATGCAAAGATTTAGGTACCAGCAGCTTGTTCAGTAGAGGCTGCTTGGAATGGTGAAAAGCTAGAAACATTAATGGTCAAAAACAAGAGAATGGTTAAATAAAGTATGGCACATGCATGAGAATACTATGACAGCTATAAAAATAATACTGAAGAGGCTAGGGGAAGATGCTATAAAATATACAGTGTGATCCTTCCTATCCATATATACAAATATACACATATGTGCAGAGAAAAACATCTAGAAGCCAGTTAAGAATTTTTTAATTGTCTTCTGCTTATCTTCTAATTTTTACATAGTGAGTAGTTACTGCTTTTTTTAATTTAAAGAAAACAAGTAATTTTGAAATTAAGATTAAAAAGTGGTATTATATTAAAAGCCAACTAACACAATTATAGCCAGAAGCCTTGCTCCTTTAAAAATTTTCCTACAGTAATGCCTAATCCAGTGACTACCTATCTTCAAGAAGCCACCAACATCTTTTTATAGTTGCAGGACAGTGGCCTCTACTCCTTTTGGAGTATATAGCAAAGGAATTCACAGGCTGAAAATAGTATCATGTAATGCAGCCAGGCTTAAAGGTGACTGAACAAACTGAGGACACACAGGCCAGGAATCAACTTGCATACTGTGAACAAAAAGTTAAGAAGCTCAGGGAATTATAAGCAGTAACAGAGATATCCTACAAGAAATGTCCATCATTTGATTATCTAAAGAGTAGAGTTATACTTGCTAAAGGGCTTTATTTTTCACAGAATGGCTTTCTGAAACAGTCTCAGGAAAGTTGTTAGTATTACTCTGAGTTGGGAATTTTAAAGTTTTAAAATGCAAATAAAATCACATTAAAATGAACTCCACAGTAGCCATTCACTGAAAGGTTATGGTAGAATTTTTTATGGTAAACATTTGTGTCCTTAAGCAAGCCAAAACCTCTTTTGAACTCAGTTTTGCCATCTGTAAAATGAGAGGAGTGAACTTAGAATCCCTAGGAGTTCATCCAGCAGAGTCTACTCCATAAACACAATAATAGAAATCACAATCAAACTGAACAACCAAGGAATGACTACTTGTATATGATGGCTACTATTGCTAAGTAGTTCTGGGATAACTTTTCATCAACAGTAGTTAGCATATTTGAGGTAGACATGGACTTTACTGTCAGGGACAGTTCCACCACATATTGCATGGCTCTAGGCAAATTACTAAATAACTAAATCACTCTGAACCTCAGTTTTCTCATCTGTGAGAGAGATGTAATAATGGTCTCTATGCCACATAAGGTTATTGTGAGAAATAAAAAATACAATGCATACAAACTGCTTATTGTAATGCTGGATATATACTAAATATTCATTAACGTTCATGATTTTTAGAATTAAAGCATGACAAAAGAACTACTAATAATGCAGAAAGGATATGAGAAAAGACAAAGAACTAGATCTCTAAGGTCACCCCAAATTTCATAAATGTTCTCTTTACCAATCATTTGAAACTAATTCAACCCAATTCAAACAAAAATTGATAGGATGACCATCCATACTCTAATCACAAAAATAAACGGCCTTGTGATAGGAGATTTCTTTACAATGGTGTTAATTTTTATTGGGATGTTACCTATAAACCAATCCAAAAACTAGACCATGCTACAGTCTTACCTCTGTGAACTTGTTGAGGGTAGCATTGGTCGGGTTGTGAGTTATCAGAAAACGCATGTTCTCATAGGAGATCTCCACAGGGGCTGGACGGTTCATTATGGCAAATTAAAAGTGTGAGCGTGCGTGTGTGAGTGTGATGGGGAAAATGGAAAAGAAAATCAATAAATCTTGAAATGTTTCACAGCAGAAAACATTAAAAAGATCACTAAACTGCCTATTATCAATCAGTGTTTTCTCTATTCAACTTGTTTATTCTTCAAGAAGCTTCTCTCTTCAAGATAAGAAGTATTTAGAATCCACTTGAATCCAAATTCAACTTGGGCCTCGATGTCTGCAGATGGATACCTTTGTACTCCAAAAAAATCCAACTATATACAAAACTTAAGCAGCCTTTACTACATTTAGGCACTAGTGAAACAAGTTAAAAAGTGTAGATCGTTTTCCACTTTTGTTTACTTGATGCTTAATTTTACTGGAGTCATTAAAAGAAATATGCTTGCAATAAAAAAAAAAAAGCCAACTATTTCTGAGGCCAGTCTGGGTGTCCAGAGTCTTCAAGGCAATGTTAATTATGGCACATAGAACCCCCAAGCTCACTTGTCAGCAAAAACGCTGTGCTGAGCCTGGCAGAAGTCTGCCCTCACACTCAGAATCGCCATAAATGTGCAACGTATATTCCAACAAAAAACCTGGAAGAAAAAAGCATAAGTAAAATGAACTGGAGGTTGATAGCATAGTAAACACAATACCCAAAGTCAAGAATAATTCTTTATGACCCCATAGACATCTGAAATGCCACCAATTCTAAATTATTGCCTTCTATAAAGAACAGGATAAAAGTGTATACCAAGAGTTTTAAAAGTTAGAAATTCCAAAGTGCTTTTAAAACTCAAGTATGTCTTTTCAAAACAGGGTTCAATAAAGTTTCTGTGCTAATAAGACTATTTCTAACAAGTCATTTTTAAATGACTGAATTTTAAAATCCACTTTAAATCATTTTTAAATATTAGAAGATTCTTAAGGAAATCTTTCCTCCATGACTCTTCGAAAAGTTCACAACAATCTTATTTTCCTGCTTCGATGGTTAAGTCCTTCACAGATAAACTTAGCTTAAAGTAAGTATTATCTGTAAATGAATAGAAGATATTTACCAAAACTCCACTTTGAAGATTTAATTCTTTCTATCAAAGTATATACACTGGCCCCCAATTATGATACCAGTCCATTAAGTACTTTCAAAAAATTACCTTCTTTTCCTCACAACTCTGAGTAGTTGTTACTACCTATGAGGAATGAGGAAAGAGGATCAGAAAAGTCAAGTGACTTGTCTAAGGTGAATGAGTTAGTTGAGCCCAATTCAAGCCCAAGTCTTCCATAAATCTCATTTTTTCCAATGTACGATAATGCCTGCTGACTCAAAGCATAAATCCCATCATCTCATTTCTAGTCCAGTTTACCTTTTTACTATCTCACATCACTACCCCAAGAATACCAAAACGTTTAAAGGTCAGTGATTAAAACAGCATTTTCCTGCCCAAATATTAATCCCTTTCAAAAATAAGACAAGAAAAAGAAGTGGCAGAATTTTTAATATTATTTTAGGCTTGCTGCACTGAAACACAGTATTCTTTCTAGCTGGCTCAGTCACAGTATCAACATAATTATAAATTCCTCTGGAAACAGGGACAAGGTCTAAGTCCTTTCACTTGCCCCTTCCCTAAGCCACCAATAAATGCTTATTTAGAACTCTCTAAAAAGGATGATTGCAACCAGACAGAAAAACACATGAAAGATAATGACTAGAGAACCATTTTCAGGAAGAAACTGAAATACAGATAAGAACAAACCTAGGCCTACAAACCGTCATGCCTATTCTTCAAACCTCAAGTCTTTTTACAATATGGCATTTTATTTCATAAGTAACATATTTGTGATATAATCATGGACATAAAACTAAAACACTACTAAAATATGAAAGATACAAAGGAAATTCAAAATGACATTCTAATACTTTAATACATTCAGTAACTTCAATACTTCAGCAGAATGAATTACACACCATGGTTAAAGACACAATACTCCATTCAAACAAAAAAAAACAAAAATATACACCACCACTCTTACTAACTTGTATTTCTAACTGTAACCCCAAAATGCAGCTACCTTAGGTTACATATTTCTTGAGTACTCCTTGGACAGTCAAGAAATTTTAAAGCTAGGAGAAACTGGAAATCAACAACTCTGATCTTTCAACGAAAAAAAAAAGATGATGTTTGGGATCAAGACAGTTAGTTAAATGACTTAACTAAAACAATACTAATTAGTAGCAGATCAAGGACAAGAACCCAGGTCTCCTAACTCCCTATTTATTTTTCTAATTTTGACAAGTGGAGGTACCCCCGCATTTTTCATAATCTTTTTCATGCAAGTGTAACTTTTCTTCAAATATTTGCTTGGACGTTCATCTGCAACTCTATGACCTTATAATGAGGAGAGAAAAGATTATTAAAGTAACTACTCAAAGAACAATGGTTTGCATGCAGTGCAAAGGCAAAACACAAGGAAAATTTTCACCTGTTTGTACCCCTTTCGTTATCACAGCTAATATGTGTCAGTTGAGTAAAGGCACTGAACGACCTGCATTGTAGTGATGGCCAGCCTTAATAGGTTACAGTTATAGCATTTAGTTTTCTATCTAGTCTCCAGGGTTTGTCTGCTCAGCAAACCAACAAGCTTTACCCCAATCTTATTCCTCCTGGCTCATTTTGGAAGGACCACTTCAAGAGATAAGAATAATTCATTATTAGATTTTCAATTCTTAACACCATACTGAGATCCCCAGCAAAAGAATTTCTGCCAAATGATGCATTATATTATATCAATGTTAGCAGATACATGATAAAAGCAAGCTTGTTTCTCTCCCCTCCCCCAAGAGACTACACATCAGCAGTTAAATGTTCTTGCACCTGTCAATTAAGATAAACTCATGTTAATTCCCCTCACACATATAAGAATGCAAAGCAAACTGTCTGAAAAAATCATAAACAACTTACCACAGCTAGGAAGTACTCAAAAGTTACAGAGCTGTCTATTCTAACATAAGCTCTGCACCTGTACAACTTACAGGACAACTTTTTTCTGAAGTTGACTATCTGGCATTAATTTTGCTCTATCTACTTAAGTAAAAATTGGTATTTGTTTTCATTTACCAGGTGAGGAAGATTTACCTGGTCTACCTGACAAATAACAGCAGTCAAATTCAAATAGGCATCCAAACATTCTCTGCACCCTTTAATTGTATCTCTTATAGAACCTAACTTTTAAAATGTTGAATTTGGGACACCTCCACTTCCTAGGCAAATTTCCATTTTTAGTAAAAGAATATAACTTCACTGAAGGATTAGAAAGTATGGTCTGTGGCAGAGAAATCCGTTTAAATTAAGAAGAGGATGAGGAAGGAAAAGGAGAAAGAATGAAAAGTGGGCTAGAAGAGCAAGTAAGCAGAGGCCTACCAAGGTAAGACAGTGCACTACCAGTGAAAACTAAGTCAATAACACAACAGAGACTACTCAAAACTCTGAACAGGAGTATGCTAAAGTTTAAATGCCCATTGTCAATACCGCTAACATCTACCTAAATGAGAATAAAAAATCAAAACACATGAAATAATACAATAGCTATCTTTTATTCATGGCACATTCTTAAAATGGATAACTATGCAGAAGTCAACAACAGATCTATATGAAACGGTATGGGAAGACGGCTAAGAGACACCAGTAAATGAAAAGAGCAAGGTACATGGCAGTATGAAAAGTACATACAGAAATAACTATGAGTACCGTACCTGCTTTCATACCTATGGACTATCTGAAAGTTACAAAGAAAACTAACATTGATTGTCTGGGGGTGGAGGGGACTAGAGCTGGAGGCCAGAAGCATTATTATTTACTTTATCATAATTTATGCTTTTGAACTGTTTTGATTTTTTTCCATGCATATATATTACCCTAATTTTTTTCTTAATTCTAGGATAACCCTACAATGATTTACAATTTAACTACATTCTTAACAGGGCTATAATCATGGGACTTCAAGCAGCCTCTATCCCAGGCAGGCCTGTACCTACACAATTCCAGAAGGACAGTTTTCTTCTGTGTTATTAAAGATACTAAATTATTGAGCAAAATGTAGGTCCTGCTTTAACAACTAAGTCTAAGTTCAAATATAAATATAAAGAATTCAAGGGCATGAGGAAGTGTTACAAAATCAGCTCCATTTAATGTAACCCAAACTTACTGGACATCCTTTTAAAATTCCTGTCAATTCACTCACATCAAGCTTTGCAGTGAGAAATTACATTCTATTTCCAAATTAAAATGATAAACCTTCTAATTTGATGGGTTATGCCAATATTCACCAAATTAAAACAGTACATCATAACAAATGCACAAAAAAAAATCTAGATTTAAGAAAGTAAAATCTAAAAGCTCTAAGGTCTGAAGAACAGTAAGCATACATTTACTGTTACTTTCTTACCAGAAATTCTACAGGAAGTCAGGCAAATTTGAATCATCTTGGCCTCTACAAACAAGCAACATGAAAGCATAATACTGTATGTAAGACGAAAACCTTGCATCAACTTTTTCCTAAAACAAATTCATTTCACTTCAAAGAAACCTGTGCTGGCCTTAAAATAAGAATAATCTGTCAATAGAAAATAATTCATTCTCATGAAGAGTTAAGACATTTTTCTTGGAATTTAGCGAGTTAAGAACAGTAATTGATTCAATTATTTAGTGGATATATACTATGTGTCACATACTCTTACAGGTGCAGCAAGAGTAGTATACAAACCAAACCAAAATTCCTGTCAGGATGGATCTTATATTTAGTATGTGGAAAAAGACAGGCAAAATATGCCACTGCTAAGAGAAAAATGCAGAGTAGGGGAACCTACAGTGCCAGAAAGGAGCGGGGATTCCAACAGTAAATAAGGCTATCAGGAAAGGCCTCACTGAAAAAAGCGACATTTTATCCAAGACCTCAGGGTGTGAGCCAAATAGATATTTGAGGGAACATTCTAGGCAGAGGGATTAGCTGTTGCAAAGGTTATGAGGTGGAGCCATGTTTGGAGTGTTCAAGGAACAGCAAGAGTGCTACTGGAGAAGAGAGAGCAACAGGATGAATAGGATCAGAAAAGCAAGTACCTTATGTGAACATAAATACAGTATTTGGCTTTTATTTGGAAAAAAATGAGAAGGTTTCAAGCAAAAGCGACAACTTAACATTAAAAGGACCACTGTAGCTGCTACGTGGAGCCAGACTATACAAGTAGTTAGGGTAGAAGCAGGTGGATCCAGGAGAGAGATAATGGTAGGTAAGACCAGGGTGGTAGCAGCAGAGAGGGTAAGAAGGGATCCATTACAAGATATACCTTTGAGGATTTGTCCACAGACCAGATACAGGGTCTGTAAAAAAAAAAAAAGAGCAACTGCATAACTGTAAGAATTCAAAGAAGCCTAACTTAATATTCAGAGACTATCAGAGAACAGACCATAAAATCTTCACAACCATCAAGGAAGAAAAATAGGAAAATTCCTCTTTAAAGGTACTACTGTGTCTACTGCATTTTAACCATTTGAGGGGGAAAAAAAAGTATCTTAAGATGTTTACACTACAAGAACTCAAC